GGTCTCCAAGTGAAAACGGTACCATGATTAAAAATATTTCAACATTCATTTAAAGTAAAAATATATAGTCATTATAGAATACTTTATTTAGATTGGAACGAAACACCCGGAGTGAATCCACATAGTCGAGACGAATACACACAATACACTGTTCCGATCTAAATCTCCGTTACGTTTTTTTGATAGTAAACATTCACAGTCTGTAAATGCATTGATGCAACTGTGATGCATGAACAGGAAAGAAGTCCGAAGTGGCTGAACTTTTGCAGTCTGCTGAAAGGATTAATTCACGTACTTTTAAATCAATGTAGTCTCAGTTATATTCATTTTATTGAGATATTGGTTTAATATGTAATGCTTGAATTAGTCCACAATCACCTCAGCGCAAATTAATAAGTCAAAAGGTGCTACAGTTCCATTCAGCATATTCAGTTATGGAATTCCCTCATATGTATAAGGAGCACTCGAGAAGGTACTTTCATAAAATAAGTTTATTCAGGATATAACTTTGGACATTACAGCCCATCAGTTTACAAAATGACAATATGACATACAAAATATGATAAAATTGACTCTCAATGAGTCTAAACTGGGGGGGGGGGTGAAACATTTAAAGGTCGGAAGTATTTCAGCAATTATAATATAACCAAAACCCATTACAAACCTATTTCAATGATATTTTCAAAAATGGCTATTAATTTAGCTACCATTCATCATGTTCCTTGTAAAATCAAAATAGATCTATGCAGAAGTCTTTTTTTGGTTTATGATAGTAAAGACTAAAGAATAACAACTGTATATCTTAGACAACCATGACAACAACATGTATATGATATGACAGTAAATGTTTTTTAACAGATATATAAGCTAGAGTAGAAATATCAAGGTAATGATTTTTAAATGTTGAGTTTTAATGAATTATATTGCAACAAGCTTTCAAAAGTAATTTTGACCCTTGACTTAAAAGAAGATGGACTGTTTTTCCCTGTACATTAAAGAGATCAAAACAATTTCGTTTTTATTGAAGAAATGTCGTGTCCGGAGTTAAATGTCGCACTGTTGTATATTTATGAGTTCCGTTTTTATTGAAGAAGCAGCTGTCAATGATAAAAGCCTGGAATTTAACTTGTCGTGGGGAATTGTTGTGTATAAAGTTGAAAAGTCGTAAGTATTTAAGCTGTTGATTTTTGAAAAGTCTTGTGATTTCAAATTGTCCGAAAGTTCTTTAGAATTTTTAAGTATCCACATCTGATTCACACCACGTCTTGAATATATAGTTGCAGAGTACTCTTGAAGTTTTTCCTTCACCACTGTCAGTAGGATTAGAATAGAATAGAAAAGAATTAAACGATGTCTGTCTGATATACAACAACATCCTTAAGCTGAACTCCTCATCTTTACCCCGCAACGCATAAACTTTTAGTGTCAAAACTTTTGTAATTTTTGACAGCAAACTTGGATGCCAAAAAAATCTAGTAACTAGATCATGTTATTTCCATCTTAGTGACATCGGTAGAATAAGATCACTCATAACAAAGGATGCGTGCAGGACATCCATTAGATCACTCGTTACATCACGACTTGATTATGGTAACGCACTTCCTTATGGTCTAAATGCCACATCCTTTCAGAAGTTGCAGATAGTTCAAAACACTGCTGCCAGACTAGTGACACGTTTAATGAAACATGAGCATATTACACAAATTTTTATAACTCTTCACTGGTTACCTGTGGCATATCGTGAAAAATATAAAATTCTACTGTATACTTCAAGGCCTTACAGAAACTAGCCCCGGCATACATTTAGGGACTGAACCTTCTAAAACCACGCACTCAAAATGAGATGTGTGGAGATAGAAGGTTTGATGTATTCTCAGACATCCTGTGGAACTGCCTTCTTCTGGACCTTCGGAGCGAACAGTCACTTGTCTTTTTTAAACAAAGGCTAAATGATATCTTTTAAAATTTGCTTTTGATTTAAAAGTCACTAACTTAGCGTCCTGATGATTTTTCTAATATTAAAAATCTTTTAATTTTCTTGAAAAAATTCTTAAAGTATTAACTTTAGTTTGGTGTTATTTTTACGTTCTATGATTTATTTACTGTTCGTTTTATATTGTACTTGTTTCCATATGTTTTAAAAGCGCTATAGGATAATTATAAAATTAGATAAGGCACTATACAAAAGTAGAATAAAAATAATAACATTGTGAAAATTCAAGTTTGTTCAAACTATGACCCTCGGGCTTATGGCAAGGTAATTAATAATAAACACAGGAATATATAGGAAATATCTATAAAATCTTTTTCTAAGGAACAGCAAAGCCATGATTAGTCATACTAATACTGAAGCATCCATATGTGTTGTGTAATTTCAATTTTGTTTGAATCATAACCCTTAGGAGGAAGGGTGATGACACACTAGGCAATAAAATTATTACATGGGAATGTATAGAAAAAAATCATTAAACATCATCTAAAAACAGCAGTTTCAAAATTAGTATTATTATTACATTAATATGTAAGCATGTTTGTTCAAATCATTACCCCTGGGGATAGGGATGAACTACATAATATCTATTCAAACTTTTCAGAGCTTAACTGCTTTTTGCTTTTCTCCAACTAAAGTACCAAAGCTTTTAGGAAAGCTAATATTTGTTTAGATTAAGACAAGGCTTATAAAAGTTTTCCAATTAACTACCACCTTCTCCAAACACAGGCTGAGAATGCTCAAAGTACATCTCGGATGCACTATAATCTTCGTATGTTGTGTCTCCTGACGAGTTTGTTTGGGTTTCTGTCCAATGTACATCAGCTAGTCCTTTAAAGGTCAAGCTTATTTCTGAAATGATATAAAAGAAATACATTATAGTTCAAACGACATTAAATCACACACACCTTGTCCAAACACAGGTACCGCTTGGTGGAAGTAGTTCTCTGTAGCGCTGTAATGTTGTCTTGTGGTCCGTCTATTTTTTCCACTTCCAGTCTAATGCACAAAAGCCAACCCTTTTAACGTCAACCCTATTTCTGACAAAATAAATACTTGTACGATATCTAACTTAAGTTAAAGATTGTTTTCACATGTTGTCATAGTAATATATTAGTGTTATACAATAAATATTTTTTCTGCCAAACTTTGGAGTAAAATTGATTACAAAAATCAATTTTAAAACTTGCAGCGGTTGTAATAGAAAGTAGAACGATTAAATTTTATTCAGTGGTATGGAAGGAGTTGCAGATGTAAAACGCATATTCTCTGCAAAAAAGGTGCATTAGTTTGATGAACTTACACACAACTATTCGGAACACCTAGCAATTTCTTTTGATCAAACAAAAAGTTTCGATATATTCCAAAAAAGGGGGAAATGAATATTCATAACACAGCTCTAAGTAAATTAATATAAGGAGGCGGGACCTAATTTATACGGGAAAGAGTAACTTGTGATCATGATGTCAACAAAGTAAAATTTAGTGCGGTGAGGGCTAGGCGAATCAGTCACTTTGTGACAGTATTAATTATTTATATAATGAAAAGAATATTTCCTGAAGATACATGTATTTCATAGACCATTAATTCAAATTAAAAGTACATGTACGGCCATCTGTTGAATGTATTTTATCTACGTTGTGGGTGTACAATTTTCCCACCTTTTAATTGCACTGCGTATTTATAAAAATGTGTATATAAAAGGTGATCTGCCTTTTTAGCCCTACTGGTCTGAGACCAGAAGAGCTTATGCGATAGTTAGGTGTCTGTTGACCGTCATTCTGTAAACAATTTTTAGCTCACCTGAGCCTAAGGCTCAAGTGAGGTTTTCTGACTGTCCGTCCGTCTGTGTGTCTGTCCGTCTGTAAACTTTTCACATTTTCGACTTCTTCTCAAGAAGCACTGAGCAAATTTTGACCAAACGCGGTACACATGATTCTTGGGTAAAGGGGAATTTAAAATGTTAAAATGCGGGGCCACGTTCCCTCACAAGGGGAGATAATCAAGAAAAAACAAAAATAGGGTGGGATCATCAAAAAATATTCTTCTCAAGAACCACTGGGCCAGAAAAGCTGAAACTTATTTGGAAGCATCCTGGGGTAGTGGAGATTCTAAATTGTTCAAATCATGACCCCCGAAGGTAGGGCTGGGCCACAATGGGGAATCAAAGTTTAATTTAAAAATAATTTGGAAAAATCTTTTAAAATCTTTTACTTAAGAACCACTGGGTCAGAACAATTTAGAATTTACGTGGAAGCATTCTGGGGTAGTGTAAATTCTAAATTGTTCAAATCATGACCCCGGGGGAAGAACGGGGCCACAATAGGGAATCAAAGTTAAACATAGAAATATATAGAAAAAATCTTTGAAAATCTTCTTCTTAAGAACCACTGGGCCAGAAAAGCTGAAACTTATATGGAAGCATATTGGGGTAGTGAAGATTCTAAATTGTTCAAATCATGACACCCTGGGGGTAGGGCGGGCCACAAAGGGGAATCAAAGTTTAACATAGAAATATAAAGGAAAAAATCTTTGAAAATCTTCTTCTCAAGAACCACTGAGCCAGCAAAGATGAAACTTATGTGGAAGCATCCTGGGGATAGTGTAGTCACAATTTGTATTATCATGAAATGTGGTGAAAGCTTCTCAGGTGAGCGATGTGGTCCATGGGCCTCTTGTTTATAATGCTCTTCCTCCTACATTTTTGGTAATCATGATTCATAATTTATTGAATCGATTATTGATTTTAATGAACGGTGTTGCCCTCAAAATGGGGATGGGGCGGGGCCACAATGGGGAATCAAAGTTTTACAAAGAGAAATCAAAGCATCCCATGGTAGCGTAGATTTCAAATTTTCTAAATTAGGATCAATGATACACTTTCGGGTAGGGTTGACTATATACATGGTCACAATATGTATTATTATGAAATGTGGTCAAGCTTCTCAGGTGAGCGATGTGGTCCATGGGCCTCTTGTTTAAATGCTCTTCCTCCTACATTTTTGGAAATCTGTCCCAAAAATAATTTATATATATATATATTTCAATAGCTGGTATAACATGGTACACAAGTAGACTACACTAAGATTCATAATTTATTGAATCGATTATTGATTTTAATGAACGGTGTTGCCATGGTTACTAAAAATACACAAAATTTATGTAAAATTCCTTTAAAACGCATGGCTTCTCCATACAGTTTTGGTCTTACTTCAATAAATTTGATTAAAATTGGTCCAGTAGTTCTCGAGAAGTTACATATGTGAAAAAAATATGCACGATGCACTGATGTTCATGAAATGAAGATTTTTTTAAAAATGCTCCTATGTACATGTATATTTCTATGTGAAATCCCCCATTTTGGCTCCACCCTCCCCAGGAATTATGATTTGAACAAGCATGGATGTGCATGTACTACCCTTCATTTGCTCTTAAGTTAGTCTAGTTTTATTGGTCCTGTGACGACACACCCGCACGACGAATGACAAAAACAGATAGCAATAGGTCACCAAAGTGACCCAGGTGACCTAAAAATTTGGAATTGCAACATTACCTCTCATATTCATCTCTGCATCCAGTTCAACAACAAGTCTCCCATTTATAATCTGTCCAGCAGAGAAAATCCCTTCGGGATTTTGAAGTTCAATGTAGAAAGCTCTCAATGTTCCCATTCTACAATATCCTGAAAATAAAATACCAATGCATTTTTACTTTAAAGTTGCTTGGTTCAATATTTTATTTTTTCATGAATTTAAAAATTAATTTCATAAAAGAATCCGCTTTTCAAAAAGCTTGCCTTACTAAATCAATCCTGCCTGAGGAGTGATAAACCTTTTGAGCAATACTTTTGTGGGTTTAAAATATGTCCTTACTTTATATTTTGAAGTCCTTGTGTAAATGACACTTCATTTAACTTGTAGAAGAATCATCTTTTCACTGCAAACTTAAGACTTGTTATTCGGGGGGGGGGGGGGGGGTTGCAAGTGGAGTGCCCTTATATATAAAACGAAAACTTTTTACACCTATTATAAAAAATGTAATAAAATCATACATTGTAAAAATTTTAAAAGATA